TGAACTGCTGGAAGGAAGATTCAAGTTAGAGCACAGCCAGCGTAATGTCCCAGCTGCAAACAGGCAGCATGGAACGCATGCTGGGGTGGGAGTAGGGAGAGCACCCATCCCCACCGAGGAAGGCCACCAAAAGCTGAGCCCTTACCGAAGGGAATGGCATCACGCATCACAGACTTGACATGAGGAGCTTGAACTTCTCCCTGGTCCCCAGACAGCCCTCACCAACTCACCAAGGTGTGGAAACTCGTATTGAAAAGTCAGTTTGTGCACTCTGACTTGGACAATTTGTCCTATTGATTAAGCAATTAATGTATTTTTTGAAAATACCTTTTTCTTGTTATTTCCCTGGCCCCGGAGGCTTACCTGTGTTTTCAAAATGACTCACAAATTCCACAAATGGATGAATTTTTGGTGTGCAGAATATCTTTACTGCTAGCTGGAGACACTGCAATTGAACCTACAATTTGGAGATGCAGTCTGTTCAACTAAACTCACCAAAATGGCAGGGGTTTCCAGATATGCATATCACCTTTGAATTTGCAGCTCTCCCAATCACTTATTTAGAGAAGAGAAACAACTTATGAACTCCTCCATGCCTCTTTCAGTGATGCTAAAAAGATTTCCCCTTCTTATGCCAGGAAACACGGGTTTCTGGTGGAATTATACAGGTCAGCTGGGGGAGTTGCATGTCCTGCACCTTCAAATCAAAAACTCCTGCATGAAAAAATTGCCTAGAGACAGCTCTGATTTGTTCTAAACTATCATCCCTTCTATCAGTGAGCAGGGAATTGTTATCTGTTTCTTTCTTACAATGTCACTGAATCAGTGACCACCTGCAAGGTGTCCGTGATGATAAACGCTTGCTTTGTATACGGAGCTATTTCTGACAATGCTCGATAGCGCACATCTATCAAATCGCCTGGAAGAGCCGCCTATTGGGATCATTATCTAACAGTCCCTCTGTGGGAGTTCAATGTCAGCACATCCTGGGGAAGGTACCTCACCGGGTACCTATTCTGCTCATTATTTCTCTAGATTAATAGTTTCACATTTCCATTATAAATTTGGGCTGAACTTTGAAGTTCTCACACCCAGAGCAAGGCTGTAGCGCGAGCACTGCGATGCGCGAGCATCCTCCCAGCGCGCAGCGTACCGCTGCGCCCGCTTGATGCGCGCGGGAGCTCCCGCCCGGAGGGTTGGCGGGCTGAGCCCTGCCAGGGGAATGCAGGAATGCTTTTCTCCCTGCAAGACTGTAGTTATCCAGCACTACAAACGCTCTGATGAAACACAGACATGCCCTGATACTTGCTTGCTCCCTGCTGGGTCTGCGTTGCAGAAGGTACCACCAGCTCTCCTACTGCAGCTTGCTCTGTCCCAAGAGAAACTTATTTTGAAAGAGCTCTGGTTCGGGTCAGGAGATTTGATCTTAAAAAGTCAGTGCTCAGCATCCTTTTAGCAAACCATGGCCATTGCTCCTCAAATCATCCTTCCTACAAGAAAGCCACAGCTCTCAGCCCTGGGCAGCATTCATCATCACTGAAACTACAACCAGGAAAAACAGTTCTTCTCATGGAAGCACCCACAAAACATGGGGGCCTTGTTTCCTTCTGCAGAGCCTCACCTGGTAACGCAAAACGCATGCCCTTGGAGGTTACGTAGTTCAGTTCTTGGGAAGAGCATACGCAAAAGCAATATCCTGAGAAGACACCCCATTATCCTCTACCCTTTCCCCTCGCGACTGGCTTTGTTCAGAGGACAGAGCCTGAAGCCGTGCCCACAGCATCTCACACCCAGCAGCAGCTCAGATGACACAAGCTAATGTCAGCCTCTTCTGCAGGTTGAACTGCTCCAGCCAGTGATGGATGCAGCCTCTTGCAACCTGACAGAATAGTTATTTGTCCTGTGTTGCTTTTTATTTCCCATCACTCAGTTTAAAGAGCAGTTCAGACTACAGCCAGGTTAGGGTACAAATAATATACAAACAAAATCTGCCCCAAATACACAAATAAGTCAGCCACCTTGCGTTGCCCCAAGTAATCCCTGAAATGAAGAGAAAGGTTCTGGATTTGTTAAACAAAATGCAACTGCCATGTACTGTGCAAAAGGGCCAGAACCGATGCCAACAATTTACACAAGGAAGAAAACTGCAGAAAAATGAAATACTGCTTACCTAGGTTCTAGAGTAGCACATGGTGCAGGCAGCATGCAAAACAGATTTATGTGATGAATCTGTTTAGCTATGAGCTGCCAGATAGCTTTAATTCATGTCGCATACAATTAACTCACTCCGACAACTGGAAAAGGAAGCTCGAATATTAACAGCATTGCTGGTTGCATTGTGCTCGGAACGCCACGCTTCTGGCAGTACCACCTCTGCAAAGAGGAACCCTGAGCTACGCTGCCTCCACGCTCTGCAGAGCAAACTCAGCACACAGACAACTGGAACAAGTACAAACTGAAATGCAGTCATAACCCCCACTGAGTTCTACAGATTCTGCTTCTTCCAATATTCCAGCTGCTAGGTATTTCCAAGTAATTTTTTGCTGTAAATATGCCATTTATGGCATATTTATGCCATTTTTGCTGGCATAAATAATGTGTTAACCCCAAGAATAGCACAAATATGGCCTTTCATCTTCCAGAAGAACCAGGAATGTATAGCGCAAATCTAGAGTTAGAAACAAAGGTGTGCCCCTGCTGCTGGAGAGCTGGGCAGGCAGGCTTGCAGGGACACACGGCTTTCACGTCTGCATCGGAAAAGTCTGCAGAAGCAGTCAAGTCATATCTGCATCACCTTACCACACAAGGCTCTAGAGGAACAGTACTACTGTCTAGTATAGCAAAAACATTAATCCCTGGATTTATTAACTAACAATCCCATACCTCAGCATTAAACAGGAGACTGCAGTGGCTGAGAGTGTAACGAGCGTGTCAACACTGGGCCTTAATAACTGAAGCTTTTAAAAGAAGACAATATTAACAGAAGAGTTCTCTAGGCTAGCTAAACATTCTAGTTCTTTTTTTTTTTTTTTCTCCTGGTAAAGACATGTTTAAAGCAGAAGCTAGACTGGCACATCTGTATCCAAGCAGGTGTGTTACAGTTTTAGTTACAGCTTAACTAATTGGGTTTTTCTATTAATACGTTAACATAATTCAACAATGACAGTAAAGCAAGTGCACTTGTAGCTTAGTAGTTTACAATATTGCCACCTGCAGTTAGGACTTAGAAGCTGCCAAAACCTCTTAAATAGTGATTTCCAAATACATGGTATATACTTGAGGTTTGCATTACAGTAACATTCTACAAACTTTCTCCCATGCCACATTCTGCATCAAAGATTTACACCAAAACACGTTACCTCTGATAGCAGCTTTTCCCAGTCTTCCTTCTTAATCATGCCGTAGGCTTGGCTTTTGCCAAAAGCAAAACTCTTCCAAACCTAGAAAAATTCCCAGAGTCTCAATGTCCTTGTTTATAGCCCCTTCAAAGAGGCTTAAAGGACAAAAAGGTATCTTTGAAAAGGACAGTGCACTCAGCTGTCTACGCTTTTTAGAATGCTCTCTTAACATGCCAATTAACATATTCTCATGTTAATTGCTGAAACAGAGGAAGGACTATCATGTTGTCGCTTGCAGATGCCATTTTACATATAGGACTTTGCATGATCCATACAGAATAATGCTTCAGGAATCGAAGCTAACCACACTTTTAAAGGGATTCCGTATCTTAGCTCAATAGAGAATTGTCCTCTCCCATCCTGTACCAGCTACAAAGATCCACAATAAAAACAAAACCCTGGGTTTTGAGTGAGAAAAGTCTTTTACACTTTAAGACTTTATGCAATCTTTCCATGGAGAACTAGTGCTTCATAGAGAGGCTCTGCTTTTCCAGGCTGTTGAAAAATAAAGACAGTGGTTGTAGGAAAGCAAATACAAGACTTCCTTGCAAAATTAAGCAGGAAGAAGTGTTAAGCCAGATCAGTGCTCCTGCTTACATTTTTAAATGTACATACAGTAACCCTTTTGAATTTGAAGCGGAGCTTTCTCTGTATTTTCTGTAAACAACGTGGGAAAAAAACGACCAATGACTGTGGAAGTAATTTTGTTCTATTCAAACAGCATTTATTGGATATGGCTCTTTGTTAAAGAAATGCACTGAATCAGGTCAATTTAGATGAGAAGGGCAAAACAATATTTTGACTAGTCCAAGCTTTCTTCTTCCCTGTCTGTACTCAGTTCCAGGAGTACTGCTTCTCCTAAAGCTTTTGAAGGGGGTGTAGGAAAAGCAAAGTTCTCTCACATTAGAGATACTCCAGTAGCTCTAAGGTTATTCTCACTAATGTAGTTAACAGACTCAATCAGCTAGACCTCTGCTTAAGTTAAAGTACCTGTGATCTTTTATTTCTTTAAAAACAATAAAATGCTTAACTTCACTATAAAAACCTCAAAGCCAGTTACAAATACAATGGCTGCTATAAGAACAGAAGGATTGCTATTCATGGCAGCATCATGAACCACAAGAAGTTTTCCATTTAGTCCCAGGCACCAGTAACTTGCCTTTATCTCAGGTATTATACTGAGATAGTCATCATCTTTTAAGCACGTTTGCAGAGACAGGACATGCCTGGAAGGGAGAGTAATAAATCTGATCTGTTGCTTGCTTTGCCCAGACAGATATGAACTCCAGTCACTTGTGTCCACTGCTTATGTGTTCTGCAAGATATCAGAATAGCCTTTCTACCCAGCTTGCTGGTTTGCAAGCCCAAGGTAACTGTATCTTGGTCTCAACCTTAAAAGAAATAAAGTTTTTCTTTCCCTGAATTAAAAAAAAAATTAATCTGTTCTAACCCCATTACATATTATAAGTAGAAAAATGAGTTCTTAACTTCCATTCTGTAAATTAATGGAAGGAATACAAATTAGAACAAGAACTAAAGGTAGCAGTCCTAAATGTAACGTTCTGTATTTACAGAGGGATGTCAACATTCATTGACTTTTATCTATGGGTTTTTTGCACCACTGCAAGCTTGAGCGAGACGAACCTAGAAAGAAAACAGAAATCAATCAGTACTCTCAGAGACACACTTATAATCCACAACCACATACAACTTCTGCCTGAAGTAGAAGACACTTTCAGTTTTGATTCAGTTTTTCAAAACATTGACAATAGTTCTTTTTCAAGAAGTGCATGGTTTATCCACAGTTTGTATTAAGCTAGATGTGATGTAAAGCTACTCCCGCTACCCCTCCCTTCTCAGTTCATGCTTATTCTTGACCACTGACATGAGCCAAGATACAAAACAAGGAGGGGAAAAAAAATAAGGAGTTTCTATTACAGCTCAACAGTCCAGTGACTAATGACAGAGTGACAACACTGCCTTACAACTTCAGATCATGACCGACAAAAATACATAGAGACTTACTGATAGCTTCTTCATAATTCCTTGGGCTTCTGGATTCAGATGAAGAAGATTCTTCTTGGTCAAATCACGTGCTGTTAAACGAATGCTCTGTGAAAAAAAAACAAATCTTACGTTTTCTGTTTGTTCAGCTGCCGTAGCCAGAAGCAGCAAAAAAAATTAAACAGGAAAAGTATATAAAATCCAAGCATACTAAAAGACCATGTACAGGCAGAGAACTACATTCAGCTTGACCAGAAGCTCATCTCATACCTTTGTTGCAGTGCATCAACATGCTACTGCCAGCAGAGACTACTTCAAATGTTATATAAATGCACAGCAAAACATCATTTTACATTCTGTTTTGACCAGCTTGAACAGCTCCCACTTCTAACTAAAAATCTTTTAAGTTTCTTTTTAAGCTAGATCAATCCCCTGATAAACTGCAGAGGCACAACTAGAGAGACAAGAGTGGATGAACTGAAACTAGTAAGGCCCCCGAGAAGTTACAAGCTATCCCTTCAGCATAGATTTTACAGATTGAAGCGTCTCCTTTACCTCCCCTCCACCAACAGGGACTGTAATGAAGATGTCGTTGCTGGCAGCAAGGGGGCTGCCATTGGCAGAGATGGTGTAAACACGTTCATTTACTGCGGGTGTGCGCAAACCCGGTGTCTTGAAAATTCTGAAACAAAAAGTTACAGGTAAGTAATTTTACTGAAATTGCTCAAAGCACTTTGACTAAAAATCTTTCATTTCAGGTTCAAAGAGCCACTAAGGAATATGATGCAAATAGATGACATACACAAAGCAAACAGCAAGGCACTCCCCTATATGAGGGATTAACAGAGAAATTTAACAGAATACAAACCTGGAATCAAATCTGGGTGTGACCAGTGAGGTACCTCCCCGAGCAGAGAGATCAACAATTCTACCAGTAGCTGGAGTGATAAAGTTGTTTTTGCTTGATCTGTTAAAGGGAAATAAATAAGCATCTGCTCATACTTTTAACAAATGTACAAGCACTATCTTATCCAAGACTTGAAGGAGGTTATCACCATAGAAAACCAGAATTTCTTACTAATCAAAGATAAACCCCAAAGCTAGGGATAGCTGGTCATCACAGGAGGGGAAGTTCCCCATCTTTCATTCACTGTCTGATCATCAATTTTTTCCTATAGCATGACACAACTACATCAATCAGCCTACTAAAACATACTCCATTCCATTTAAGGAGTTATATTAGCACTATACACTTATTCTCCATTTCTGAAGTCATGTGAAACAAAGATATCGCCTGTTACCTTTTACTCATGCGCTTCACTCTTGCTGAAGGAGCTCTTCTGCTCCTGGACATTGGCACTTTTTTAGTGGATGCCTTCACCTGAAACACAGTCCTCACCAGATCAGTTGCTTCACTCTCATGTGACAGTTGAGTCCACAACAAATAGATGCTTCCATACAAAATGTTTGCTCAATAGGCTCCTTTTTATGGCACAAGAATCCAGAAACAAACACCATACAAGCTTCTGTGACCTTGCCCTATCGCTAGAATTTTCAAGGAAGCGACAGCTGTTTTGAAGTCCCCCTCAAAGCATCCTGGACAGCTCTATTATCATAGGCATCATCTCAGTAAGTGTCTTGGGAATAAAGTAATCACAAAGAACAGCTATGTACCTTTCCAGTTCTTGGATTAATGTTTTCAGCTTCCGGCTCGGGAAAACATTGGCTATCATGTTTTGCTTTCTTTGCTAGAGGAAGCAAAGAAGGCTCTGCTTCTTCTTCAATAGCTTCAATGTCCTGTTTAGATTTTTCCACTAGAAGAGAAAATGTTAGCTAAGTTGAAAATAAATAATAACTTTAAATTATTAGTTAGCAGCAGAGGTAAACAGTAAACAACTACAGGCATTTTTGGCAACAATTGCCTTCTGAAATCCAAATTCCAATGTAATCCAAATGGTTGACAGAGCACTATTTTGAATTATTTTGAATGTTTTAATAAAATTAAGTAGAGCAACTGCAGATAGTAAGGATAAAAGTAGCACTGTTTTCCTGTTTTTAAATATATTGAGGGACATAATAAAGAACTGAATTATTATTCACAGTATGTAAACTATGACATGCTTTCAATCTCAGTGAACTCATCATGATGCTTAAAACAAACTGACCTTTCTTGATGATTTTTAAAGGAGTCTGGATAACTTCTGCTGTTAACTTGTTTATTTCTGTTATTTCCAAGTCTGCCTAAAATTAAAATAGTCACAACACCATTAGGATTATCGGTAGCATATAGTTCTGATAAGTCAACGTTGTAGAGCAAATCTCTAATTATTTTACAGCAAGGATACCTCCACGTTTTCTGTTGTGCTCAAACGGGGGCCTTTCATGTTATTCTGGAGGTGACAACAACACGTGAGGGCTGCATGCCGTTCAGGACTAACATGCTTTATTTGGAAGCTGCAAGTATGCTTCACCTACGCCCTGCCCTACTGCTCAATCAACTTAGAAACGCTTTAATTTACTGAAAAGTGGGTGTGCTCTCAGGGATCTGGGATTGAAATCAAGCAGGTAAAGACATACCGACAAGGAGCAGTATGAGCACGCAAATCCTGTATTGGATACAACAGGCACCTTTTACTGTTAAGTCTTAAAGCAACATTTGTAAAAGCATTTCTGTAACCTCTGCTGTTGCAATGCTCCTAAACTGAAGAAACCCTTCGTTTCCTACAGTGGTATGCAACATCATAAGAAAAGCTTAATATTTATGCTAGAACCCTACCGTTGCTGCCTCTTCCAACACCTTTTTGCTTCCTCCTTTAGCTAAAAAGAAATGTTTTAAAAAATCAACACATATCTAAGACAGCCTATACAGTGTACATAGACATACTTTAATATGACACCACTAGGGTGCAAAAAAACAGCACAAACCAGTTTTCTGGGCAGCGAATGAGCAGCCTCAGACAAAGAGAGCAGCACTTCCGAACAGCCCACGGGTCGCCTGCGTGGGGGATTCCAGGCAGGGACGCTCCCGGCTGCTCCTTTGTTACCACCGGCTTTTATTATCGAAGGGAAAACGTGTCCCCGGCAGCCCGGTGCCTCCCCGGTCCCGTCCCGTACCGAAATAATCG